TGCAGCCGATGCCGTCTTCTGTAATACCAAGTATAGTGAAATGCAGACAACCTTTGATTCGAGGTAATTAGTTCTGATAAAGTGAGCGGCTGGCAGAAGAAGTCACGCTGAGTTCAAAGGGGTGTCCCTCATCAGGAAACATTAAGTGTTCTTACCAACATGATGTCATTTAATCCCAACACTTGATGCAGCGTTAAAAACCGAGGGTTACCAGGCAAACAATCCATCACGCTTTTTAGACATTTGCTATGACATGCTCCACATAAACCCCCAGAAAGAATAAAAACATTAAAAAAACGCAACACACACAAACTGCTGTCAGTATTTCAACAAGGCCCAAAAGAGAAAAAATGAGTTTCACTTTAAGACAAAGTCCTAAGCAAAGAGCCTGCAAGGCTGCTGAATCTGAATTAAGCATAGATTGGCCTATATTGCAGCAATTAGGGAACTAGTTCAAGTTGTGCCAGTTCTCATGTAGGTTCTTTTACACTGGGGACTTTTACTCTAAAATAGTGAAGAATACAGTGCAGTCTGGGCTAGGAAACAGTGGTTGAATTGAAAAGACCACGGTGGAATGAACTTTTCATTTAACATCAGAAAAGGTTTGCAGATGAGTGCTGTGCTTTGAAAGAAGAATGTGGCATAATAGCTTGTAGGCATGACTAAACAGTATGCACGTGAAATAACATATTTATCACCAGCACGCAGGAGAATAACCGCATCAATCACACACGCGATTTGAAAATAGGAGATAAGATAAACTGACTCTAAGTGCCCGTGCATCTGATGCTGCACGAGTGGCCCGGCTTCCCCAGAATCAGAAAGCAGAGTGGTGTAGAGGAACATGTGTGCAACCTGATTTGAGCTCTCATGCCTACGGTAAATCCATTCCTCCTCTCAAAAAGCTTGGAACACTGTATGTGAAGGGGTGACTAACTTGCACTTTCAGGAATATCGCACATAACTGGAAGCCAGAAGGGCAGCTAAATTCCTGTTTTTGCCCCAGCTACTTGGTTTTGTCCCAAAAGGCACTCACTGACCCACTCATTAACGGGTAAAGCTGCAGCTTGACAAGAAACCCCCAGATGACAGTAATTGTTGCAGTCGCAGATGGAGAGCAATTAATGAAGGGTCAGAAGTTTCCAGAAGTGTGTCTGCCTGCATTAAACACCTCCTGTATGAATCTCACTGTAACCCTTGACCTAGGACCTCGATGGAGCTGGGTAAAACATAAGCAGGGGCACGTTGATTATGGTGGCTTCTCTATATTTCAAGTGAAATGAGCACTTCTGAGAATCTTTTTAAACCTTAACAAAGAGTAGAATCAGCATCACGGTGAATTATGTAATGCTGCACAGTCTGAAATCCTCTCTTACAAATCCACAACTGTGAAGAGGAACCAACTTATGAAAAAAGTTCTGATCCGATGCTCTAACACAGTCTCTACCGTGAGCAGCATGTTTTGGGACTGTTTCTTTTTTTTTTTGTAACCGACTCCAAACGACTATGCAGCTCCGCAAGCGGCATCAAATTAATTAACAATGACTTACAATACAAAGCACTTTGAACTGAGTGTGTGCTGTGAACAGAGCCAGATTGACGGGAAACTTTGACCCCGCAGGCCTCCCCACAGCAGTTGCTTATGACTTGCCTCCCTTGAATTCCCCTCTGGTGCACTGCCAGCAGCACAGACGCTATACCCTCCAGAGCTGAGTGTTTATGATTAAGTATGCAGGTGTAATGATGTGAAAACTTAATGTATGCGTCTTTTAGTGGGAGTATGTGAACAGAATTCACAAATTGCAACTAACTACTGCAAACAGATACACCCGGTTACCCATTTACAAACATATCTGAGATGAATGGAGCTGAATTATTTAAAGCATCATTATGCAACAAGACACTCTCTCTGCTAACGGGCAAAATACTTCTACAGAGAAAAACTTCACATTATTTTATTAATTGTCTCTTTTTAAGTATTTCAAACCAAAGTATGTCACGGCTGCTTAGGCAGCAGCTTTTATTTAAACATAAACTCAGTGTTAGGTATGTAGCAAGTGTTTGGATGCTGAGAACGGAACATGAACCGATGCCCCGGGATATTTAATGAGGTGCATGCAGATGTTTTAAACGGGGCGATCGTGGCTCAAGAGTTGGGAGTTCGCCTTGTAATCGGAAGGTTGCCGGTTCGAGCCCCGGCTTGGACAGTCTCGGTCGTTGTGTCCTTGGGCAAGACACTTCACCCGTTGCCTACTGGTGGTGGTCAGAGGGCCCGGTGGCGCCAGTGTCCGGCAGCCTCGCCTCTGTCAGTGCGCCCCAGGGTGGCTGTGGCTACAATGTAGCTTGCCATCACCAGTGTGTGAATGTGTGTGTGAATGGGTGGATGACTGGATATGTAAAGCGCTTTGGGGTCCTTAGGGACTAGAAAAGCGCTATACAAATACAGGCCATTTACCATTTACCATTTAAACTCCGACCACATCTGCAGCTTGTGCACAAACTGAGGAATGACTCTAAAGCAAACTAAGCACGAGTGGAACAGTGGTGCAGTGGTTATGAATATCGCCTCATAGCAAAAGGGCCCTGGATTTGAGACTGTCAGCTGCCTGGCATCTTTATTTGTTTGGTATGTGGATGTTGTCCCTGCGCCTGTGTGGGATCGCTCCATTCTCATTAGGCTAATTAGTGATTCTAAATTGCCTGGAAGCATAAGCGGCTGTCCTTTTCTCTCTGTGATAGATGGGTGACCAGTCAAGGTTGTACCCCACCTCTTATCCTATGACAGTTGGGATAAGCTCCAGGCTAGCATGGCCCTGAACTGGATAAGGAGTTAAGAAAGTGGATAGATAGAAAAATATGCATCTAATTAAAAAGAGTAGAAAACGGTTTGTCTTAGTTTATTGTTTCTTTGTCGAAACAAATTGTGCAGGAGTGTAATTATTAATTACTAAATCTCCATCAGAGCAAGGCACATTTTCCTTCCTTAAGAAGAAAATGTAAAAGTAAATATGTAAGAAAAATTGTGTATGTTTCTGTTCTGTGTCCTGTGTACTGTTTGTTTGTATATGTGTCTTTTTGGCTGCTGTTACAACCAAATTTCCCCTTGTGGGACAATTAAAGGATTATTCTATTTTATTCTAAAATGTTGCTACCTTACAAAAATAAAAACTTCACACAAGTTTCTGTGTCACTGAAATATGGTGACTAATGAATCAACAACCCAATTATTTTCTTTTCACTAGCAGGGACCACATCCTCGGTAACGATGGGCGATGAGGGATGAGGAAGTGTGACTGGTGCTGCGGTTTGGGGAAGGCCTCGAAGGGGACTGGCGACGGCTCTCGGGCCGGGCAGATCCCAATGTACTAACGAGAAATGAATGAAGGAAAGGAAGAGAGGAGAAGAGGAGAAGAGAGGGAAAAATGAGGGGGAAGGGTGGGGCGTGAAAATGAGAACAGCAGGTATTGGAGGAGGGGGGCTTTTATAGGCTGAGGCCGGAGGGGGCGTGAAGGTAGGAGTGTTCCCACTCCTGAAATTCAGATGATATCTCCACCAAAACAGTTCCCAGTTAATGTTCTGCAATATTACTTATCAATGAAGTGACTTGTGGATTCAGCGCCATTGTGTAGCACACACACACACACACACACACACGCACACACACAGGAACACAAGTAAACACAAACATTCAAATATTCACTAAATGGTTGTAACACACAAAATCTTAGTCATCAGATGTCTACTACAATCACAACAGAGATATGTAATAATAAAAAGAAATTGCAAACATTTGCTGATCTTAGGATTCTGATAAAATAACAGGATAGTGAACTTTCTCTGTTGACTCAGAAAACTGGTGCATGTCTGTGACTAGTCAGCTGTAATGAAAATAAATAAACAAACACCCCCCTCCCCAAATAGTATATTATGTAATGCTAATTTGGCAGAGGAACTACACCTAATTTCTGGTAATGGAGCTCGCTGATTTGTTCTGTTTTTCCTCCCAATTAATCCTCTTAAAGTGAAGCGAATATTCTAATAAGCGCACAACAGTCATGTTTTTCCCCCTAGTTTTAAGAGTTCATAAATCAGCTGCTGACAGGTGTGTCTGTATATGCATCAGTCCAGTCCAGCACCAAATCTACAAACCCTTTCCAGGAATAACTTAGTCAGAAGCAACAACAGTGAGGGGGTTGGCTATGCAAAACATCAGATAAACCGTGGGTGAGGTAAACATCTTTCTCAAACACCATGCGCATACAAATACACACAGCACACGGGGGGCTTGAGGGTGTTAGAGGTTGTTATTCATTATCCACACGACTGCATTCCAGGATTGGACAAAAAAAAGAGTTATCGCCACCATCACTCTGAAGCAAGCGCATGAGAGGCAGACAGGGATTTAAGCAGGTTCTCAAACAAGATGCCCCCACCTGATAACCTCAGTGCTGCTGTTGCACTATTCCCACATGTCCTAATGCATTTACAAATGAGAGAGAGCAAGAGATGAAAGGAATGGGAAAGTGTGAAAAGGGTTGAATAGGAGGAGGGCAAGGCATGAGGAGGAAAAGCAGGAGGGGAGAGAGAGAGTGTGAACATTAACACTTAATGGAAGTGATGGAGAATGATAAGGACACCTGCTTCTCCACTTTACAGGAAGTGACCTGTGAAGATGTGGCATCTACACCTGTGGCAGATTCAGTGTTGTCTGAGGGGGAAAGAACCTTTGCTGCTACCTCCCTCATCTCTTTTTCCTTCAGTACAAGAAATTGAGGAATTCCTCTTCCTTCTTTTTATTGCTCAATATCTGATTTTAGACATTTGACCTATAGATACACCACATGCACTCAGTGACTCCTTGCATCATAAACGATTACATAACTCATGTATCTACCTTGCCTTATCCAACAAAGAGAGTGGTCATGTGAAAGACCTGCCTAGAACAGACATCAACCTTTAACACATTCCAGGTGTCAAAGGTTGTTGCAAAACTCTCTTACCTTTTTTAAACTCCTCCAGCATTGCGTCAAGCTTGGTGTCATTGAACACAAAATGCAACGGGTGGCTGTAAAACTTTGTGATGGTTTTGAGCGGAGTGCAATCATCCGGGTCCACGAAGGCCAGGTCCTTGACCAAGAGCAGATCCACTATATTGGACCTCTCGCCCTCGAAAACGGGGATGCGCGTGTAGCCGCTCTTCATTATCTCGGACATGGTATTGAAGTCCAGCGTTGCATCCCCAGGAATCATGAAGCAATCCCTCAGCGGCGTCATCACGTCCTCTACAGTCTTAGTCCTGAGCTCCAGCGCGCCCTGGATGATGTTCAGCTCCTCTTTCACCAGATCGTTGTAGGGGTCCGTGACGCGCAGCATCTCCAGAAGCTTCTCTCTGTTGTACACGGTTCCTATCTCCTGTCCGAGCAGGTAGTCCAGCAGCTTACTGACTGGGTAGGACGCAGGGAAGGTAAGCAGCATGAAGAACTTGGTGAGGAATATGGTGTTGGCTCCCACAGCGAGGCCGTGCCTGGAGCAGATGGCCTGTGGCACAATTTCCCCAAAAATGACTATACCGATGGTGGACATGACAACAGCAATCAAGCCCGAACCGGCGATATCATCCAGCAAGATGGTTAGCGTGGTGTTCACTAACACGTTCCCGAGCAGAAGAGAGCATAGCAAATAATTCCCTTGGCTCCTGACCGGCTCTATTTTTTTGGCGTAATTCTTCTCCCTTTCCGTGCCGCAGTTCTGCACTATCTGGAGTTCCATGGGGTCCAGAGCCATGAGCCCCAGGTTCAGCCCGCTGAACATACCGGACAGGCAAAGCAACATGGAGATGAAGATGACCTGGAGCCAGAAAGGCAGCAGAAACTTTTTCTCCTCCACCACTATCACTTTGGTGTCATCCCCATCGTGGTAGATCCAGGTGTTCTCCGTCCGCGGGTCGTGCATCCCGGCCACGGCTGGTGTCGAGGTGGCGATGCAAAGGTAATACGTTTTACTCCTCTCCGTCTTTCGCAAAGGTTTGACCTCAATTTCAACTATACCGGATGTCTTTCGATTCAGGATGATGTAGGGCAATATCATTATATCCGAAGTCCTAAAACCACAGGGGTGCAAGCCGGACGAGTCCTCCTGGCTCTGGTTATCCCCCGAGGAGCTGTCAATGCTCCCAATCACCCGGCTCCGCTCATGTTCCGTGAAAGCAATTTTGGACCAGGTCTCGTTGTTGATGTTCTGCCCGTACACTCTTAATTTTACCCGAGAGCGCTCACTCACCCGCAGGTAGCCCTTATCCATGAAGGAAATGTCGTCCGTGTCCTCCAGTCGGAGCCCTATGATGACGGTCTCCTCGGACCCTTCCTTGCCACTTGTCGGGGTGACACAGCAGCCAGTGACAGTTAAGAAAATCATCGCCAAAGCTCGGACCCGGTTAAGTGACGCCATTTTTGCATCGGTGGGTGCTTGGGATAACGGTTCTGCCATATTGATAACAACTGGCAACCAACCTCCTGAATGAAAAGGGCTTTTAAAAATCAGAGCCAGTCGGAGTCCGCCTTCATCTCCGCCCAGGGTTGCCGTGACTTGTGCATCGGGACCTGCTCGTTCCCACTACGTGTCCGACACTGATGACTCGCGAGCGCAGGCTTACGGGCCAACTCGTGCCTCCCCTGGTGTCCCCGATACAGGCGACGGCGACGACCAATCGGGAGGTTCCGCTGGCCGGGAGGCGGGGCGTCCGCAGCCTCCTTGACGAATCAAATTCCAAAACAAGTGCACCTCATGTTAGGAGACAGATAGGACTTTACTCGTGACTTCTTAAAACATATCATGCTAGAAAAGACAATCACAATACCCGGTCTAAATGTTTAAAAAAGGCACGTGCAAAGATTAAAGGTTAACTAAAATAAATACTACAACATGTTTTATCTATATAGACTATCAAAGGTTGGGACATGTTAATTTGTTTTCCTCCTATCGCATTGCATCATACTGCATGCTGAAACTCCGAAGCACTATCTATATCATGTCTCATTTTAATGACAGGTATTACAGTGGACAGTAATATGTTCTTAGACTGACTAACTTGAAGAGGTTAAAGTTGTCAAAACCATTAAACACATATACATATACGTCATTGAGATGTGTAATACAAAAAACAATTTCTTTAATACAATTATCTCTTATTAGACTATTTATCTTTTCCCCCTTTAAACTTAAAATGAAACTAAAGCGAGAGATCCTGACCACCATGTCTTGAACTGGTCCCCTTAACCAAAGCTTTTCCCAAATACAAATGTGCATTTGTACCTTTAGAAATAATGCACTACATCATAGGAGCAAAGATGAAAATAGAAGAGTCATTTCATTAATTAATATTTATTGTGTTTTATCAGAAATAACACATAACCATCACAATAATGAGAAATAATTTGTACACTTTTGTTGAAGCATATCTTAAAGCCAGTCTGCAAAACAATTAAGCACCGATTTACTAAAACACAGGTTTTAAGGGAAGTAAAAAGTATTGTGTGAATAAACAATGTCAGTTTTATGGGTAAAAAAATAATTAGACTAAGCAGGCATATGACAAAATGAGGCACAAATGAAGAAGTTGCTCTTCTTAATACTGCTCATGGTTGTTAAAAGGTTTTAAATTTGTTGCATTTTTATTTTACCTTACTAAAGTTTTCCTTTTATCTATACAATATAATTATGTTAATGAATTGTTACCATATTTAATTCTTTCATAAAATATTAACTGGGAGCACTTGCAGAACCCTTAAATCCCTCAAAGTGATATTGTTATCTTGTTTGCGCAAGATAATTTATAGCCTAGGTACTCAACATGTGGCCTGTGGACCAGTGTCAGACTTCAAAAATGTTATGTGGCTTCTAATCACCCTTGATTCAACAACAGTTCAGTCAAAACCAATGGATAGTACCGCTGAAAACTAGAAGCAGGGAGCAGATCTCTTCAATTTTAACTATTTTCTTTGACATTATAGCAAAATAAACCACCCTAACCTTAATTTAAAAAAATAGTTGGTACAATTTAACAACCACCTCACTCTGATAAGACAAACTAAAATTATTTGATGTGAGATTTCTTTTCCTTATGGTCCTAAATCATATGCTGGCTCCTTAAATTGGCTCATATGCACTTGAAGCAACTTCAAATACAAACACTTTGATTACACAATAAAACATTTTAAAGTCATCAGCAGAACTCATTTCTCTGCAGGCCATACACTTGTAGTCCTTCACATAGTCATTCAGTATGTGAAGCAAATGGTGGCTTTGTGTAATTGCAATGCAGGGTGTTCCAAAGTGAAACTAAAACTTGACCAGCTGAGATGTCTCCATTATACACTGGGTGGGTGAAGTTGTTTGAGCAACCAGTATCTATTAAATTATGATCTACCCACAAGGTGTTTATTGTTTATCGATGTAATGAAGTTGTGAGGTCATATATGAGGAACATGATTATGTTTAATTAAAATGAATTAATTAATACTCATGGAAGTTCACCAAACATGTAGACATTATTGGTAGGCAGGAAGCTGAGCCTGTTTCTTTGTGCTCTTCCCACCATCATTTGCAGCAGCCAGCAGACTGTGTGCTGCAGCATCCCCCAGTGGCTGATGCAGGGCCTTGCACACCCAACTTCAGGGCCAGCTCAAAAGGGTCCTCAATGCCAGCCTGTATGAATAATTCAGCCAAGCAGAAGCATTAAAAGAACAAGCACCCAGTTACAAGAATGTATCATGTAACATTTGTGTTTCATCCCAAATCACTGTAAGCAAGGTCACAAAATTGAAGAAGTGAATCCAGGTACTATTACGGTACATTATAACAGAACACCGGCTCCTCTACACAGAGTCTTGTTATGGCCCTGTGCTTCCTTTATCAGTTACTGGTTGTTCATTAAGTCACAATTTCAAAGCAGCTGTTCTTTCCATGAATAAGACCAAAGGCTTTTTTTATTACTATTATCAGCACACTGCTGTAGTGATTACAGAAAACTCTTCCAGACGAGACTTCACACTGTCCAAACTGTTAATAATGAGGTGGATTTTGATAAGCCTTTACCATTTTAATTTACTTCTATTTCTCATATCAGAAGAGAAAAAAAATCTTTAATGAGCGGTTAACAAGTTAGAGAACTCATTTTTAAAAAAATGTAAAGCGGTGCTGTTAGAGGTGTATGTGCATAAAATGATTGCAAGCCCTGATGAAATGGTATTCTATTAGCTGAGTGTAGAACATTCCTTCTTGTTCAAGGTTCCCCAGCATGACTCCACAGTCTGGTTATGAGTCCAAGACAGCTGCTTGACCTTGTGCTTGTGCATGTGTGTATGTATGTTTGAGCGGTACGTGAATGTCCAAGAATGTACAGCATGCAGAAGCACATGCATGTGTGTTTGTGAGCGCAGTTTGACAGAGGCGCTCTGCCCTCTGGGCGTGTCACACAAATTGATACCAGAAACATACTGACCCCTAATGTGTAAAAGAGACATCCAAGAATTTAAACACAACACTGACCTTAGGTTTGACTCCACAGGGCCCAGTGGGGCCCCCCAGTGGCTGGAAAGTAAAGTCCTCTGCAAATCTGGAATGTGTCAGTATGTTGGCCACCTCTCCATCCACCTCCACAACTTCATTGGCCTACAAAATACATCCAAATCTGAAATCATTTGCACAGTTTAAGCGAGTAGAAGGCTGATGTATATTCTAATTCAGAATATACAGACCATGAAGGTGTACTGACAGTCAAACTGGAAACTATCCTCTGCCCCTGTAATGCCACCATTATATATGACTTTGCAGTTCTTGGTGTTCCCCTTGGGGACCTTAAACAAGCGGTATGTGGCAGAAACAAACTTGAAGTCACCTGTATTAAACACACAAGATTGAAATTAAAAAAATTAATAAATTTCAGGTCATGCAAGAAGGTTAGCAGCTCTCAAAATGTGAAATAACTTGGAATCTTGTAATGTTACATTAGTTGTAACTGTAGCTACATAAATATAGGTTGGGAGAAAACCAGCAGTGACATAATAGTGCAAGCTAACTTAGTAATGTTTATTTGTAGGGTTAATCTATAAAATGTTCTTCTTTAAGAACTTGTGCAAAAGGATTCTCTGATAGCATCATTCATGTCGATTGTGCCTGTATGTACAACTGACATGAATGTCACTGGATATTTACTCTTTTCCAGAGCTCTGTAAACTCCAAAGATGGCTGTGTGGGAAAATCCCAGTAGATCATCAATTTCTGAAATAATCATACCAGCTTATCTGGCACTAACAACCACGCCACATTCAAAGTTACCTAAATCACCCCCCCCATTCTGATGCTCGGTCTGAACTTCAGCAGGTCATCATGACCATGTCGACATGCCTATGCGCACCGAGCTGCAGTCATGTGATTTACTGACTAGATATTTGCATTAAAAAGCAGCTGAACAGATGTACCTAACAAAGTGGCTGTTGAGTGTAATTCTGTATCAAGCAAATAATGCAAAAGTCAAGCAAGTAAAAAAGCTGTCAAACCAAGAATGTCCTGCAGTTCCTTGTTGTCAACAGTGATGACACTGGCCGTAACCAACCGTGGGGGGCTGAAGCCCACTTTTTCAGCCAATTGTAGGAGATCCTTCCAGCAGAGTGCTCCAGCAAGGCACTCACCTGCAAAGATAAAACAGACTATGATATTCTGGTGGGTGCTTGTCAATTTATGGCAGTAGAATATTAATTAGACGCACCCCATAACACTTTGTGATTTTTAATTTCCTCTGTTAGTCTTCCATTGCTGTAAATGTCACTGAAGTACAGCTCACCACCATCCTAATGAGGAAAAATGAGAAAGTGTATGTAAATGTGTAAATATTTGCTTAGCTTTGCTCTCATAGTTTTATGATTGAAGATTTAATAACAATATTTAAAAAATGAGAAGCAGCGTACCTTAAGTACTTTGTAAGCTTCAGTCAATACCAGCCTCTTGTCTGGAGAAAGATTCACCACACAGTTGGAGCTAAGCAAAAGCAGAAGATGTTCAAAACTGTTATTCTATGATTATATATTGTTAAACTGCACACAAAAAAGGATTAGTAAGACACCTTACATAATTACATCAAACGAGTCATTTTCCAGACCTGCCTCGGTCAAGGCTTCGATGTAGCCTTGGACAAAATTTATATTTGGCTTCTTGTAGCCAAACTCTTTCATATGATGGTCCACATAGGTCCTGGCCAACTCGAGCTGGAATTTAAAAAAATAAAAAAAATAAAAAGGTATTTATCAGAATTTATCAGTATCACTCAATAAGTCCAAAACTTTTTGGTTGTATTTAAGGCATGCATGCATACAGAACAGAGTTTTGTCTTTACAAATTAAGAAGTTGAAAAATCTTCACTTAGAAGATTTTAACAGCCTTAAATAGAGTTTTGGAGATATTCTGAGTTCAATTCAGTATCATTTAACCATCAGCTAGGATGCACCGATTAATCATAAGGCCAATACAGCGATACGGATGTTCAATACCTGGCCATCAGTCATGTCAATACCAGTGACATGTCCCTTCTCACCCACAAGCTGACTCAACATATAGCAGTCCCTCCCACTTCCACTGC